TTTTAAATGATGATCTAAGCGACTTAAAATGAAAATATGAAGGTAAGTTAGATTTTGACATAATTAAAAAAAATTATTGGAATCTGCACTAGAAATTTGAGAATCGATAAACGATGTACAGGTGAGATCCCATCACGGTTGCCAGCCAATTTTGAATGCTAAATTTCAGAAAATTATAGAAGAATTATACGGGATAGTTATCGAAAGAATTATACAGAAATATGATTGGATAATATGATTTTAGACCATGCAAAAAAATTTCTTCACAGTGGAAGAAGAAGAAATTGAAAAGAAGATTACAAAGAAAAATAAATGTTGCCTTGGTAAATGTAGTCCTATCCGACCATCATTACAAAAAAAGGAGGTGAGCAAAAAAAACCTGGAATTCTCATTTTTTGACCAAATTTGTAAATTGGAACGGGCTAGGAACCCAAAAATTCAAAATTAACTGTTTTGTTAACTGTTTTGGACAATTCTAACAATTGCAGCAACAATCACCTCAGCTTGCAAGAAAATTGTGTGAACTCTACACACGGGCGGGCTCGATGCGAGGACAATTTTTTTCAACCTCTACCAGGTTTGAAGCGGAACAGGATGTTAAAACAGGTGAGTAATTTTATTTTTGGAAAAATCAATGGCATCTTTTTTTAAAGATATATGCTCAAGAATCACATCGGCCGTTGAAATTTTTGGTTGGCAAATTGAAGTAGTAAAAAAGTTGCGAACAACACAGGGAGCGTGAGTTTTTGAATATTCCAGAAAAATGTGATTTTCGTTTTTTCTGTATTTTAACAGGATGCAAGAGAAAGTTAACATAAAATCCTGGTTTTTTGGAATTTAGCGTCGAATAATTTTCTAGTATTCATCTTTAGAGGTTATGTTGGTCTGCTGGAATGGGGGAAACAATAGAATCCTTCTCGGGGGGTTTCTGGGACGCAGGCTATAAGAGGAATATTAACACTGAAAAGGTAAACTGCGTCCGTTTTTTTGCCTAAAACTCAAAAAGTTTTTAGTTAAAAAGTGCAACAACTTCCCTGACGAGAAATTCATACACATCCGCCTACAAGCAAAAAAGAATACAATTTTATGATAGAAAAATAGTAAAAATACGTACGATGCCCGTCGTGACCGCAGTAGTAGCGATCGGGGAAATGACGCCGGCGATATACAAGTAAGTTTGCTTCGAACGTAAAAGGGTTCGAAAACGCCATGTTTAGAAAAGTTAGCTTGGAAATTTTTCCACTTAAGTTGGTTTGTAGCTTGCTCAAAGCAGCAAAATCTGAATGTCGAAAAGAGATGCATCTGTACGGTGGATAGCTGCAAATACGTACAGCTCATGCCATGCTACATGTCCCAGAAAGGAATATAGGAAACGAATGACCGGCTGTCCGTCCAAACAGGTTCGATATTTTGAACTTCCTGGGATCGTCAGCCAGCCTGTACATCTCTTTTTTAGGGAGGTCCAACGACGCGGTCGAACCGACAAACAACAAGTATCAGAATTCTGTGGACACGCTGCTAGTAAAGGTATGAGTTACCTTAACCCAAAATAAACAATTGTTTTTAGTGCACAGAAAAACAAGAACCCGAATATATTTGTTGAAAAAAAATAGTAAAAATATATACGACGGCGCTGGTTACCGCGCTCGGTGAACCGCCCAATCGCTGCCGGCGATCAACGTTAGTTAGTCTTGAACGTCCATATAACGATTCAAAAACGCTGTTAAACTCAGCTAAATTTTTTTTAATGTAGCAGTTGATTTAAATAAATTCTTAATTTTAGATGTTAAATCGGGAATAGAATAACATCAAAAATGGTGGCAACCCTGCAGGCTATGTGGTCTATGCGGCAGACAGGGACGTATGCAGCTGGTCAAAGCATCAAAAATACTGATGGACTGAAAGGTATTGCAAAGTTTTCAGCTGGAAATAACCCCAGATTTTTAGGGTTAAGGTCCTATATTTTTTACGCAATGATTGGATGGATGTAGAAAGACCACCAAGCTGGTTCGTTTAGTTGAAAATCAGTATACACGTTTTATAGAGCAAAACAATTTAAGTTTCATTCAAGTTTGTGAAAATGAAAATGAAAACTATGAAAGGCACTGTGAAAAAGTAAAGAAAAAAAAAGAAAAAGTCCATTTTGCCCTAAAAATACGAAAGTTTTAAGGTGAAAAGTGCAATGGCCTCTCTGACGAAAAATTCATACGCATCAGCCATCAAGAAAAGTAGAATCCTATTTTATTTATTGAAAAATAGTAAAATTTTTTTTTTTTTTTTTTTTTTTTTTTTTTTTTTTTTTTTTTTTTTTTTTTTTTTTTTTTTTTTTTTTTTTTTTTTTTATATTTTTTTTTTTTTTTTTTTTTTAATAATTTTTTTTTTTTTTTTTTTTTTTTTTTTTTTTTTTTTTTTTTTTTTTTATTTATTTTTTTTTTTATTTTTTATTTTTACATTTTTTAAATTTATTTTTTTTAAAAAATTTTTCTTTTCCCCCCTTTTTTTTTTCCTTTACTCCCCCCCTAAACCCTTAAAAACATTTAAAATTTTTTAAATTCCAAATATGGTTCACTGCTGGTAACCGTGCTCGGTGAATCGCCCAATCACTACCGGTGAAATACAAGTAAGCTCGTTTCGATACTCCATATAACCATCAAAAACGCTGTTAAACTCAGCAAAAATGTTTTGATTTTAATAAAGCAGTTTGATTTAAATAGACAGATTTTAGATGTTGACATCAGGTGAAGACTCACATCAAAAATGGAGGCAACCCCGCAGACTATGTGGTTAACGCAGCGGACAGCGACGCATGCAGCTGGTCAAAGCAGCAAAAATACTAAGGGGCTGATGGTATTGCAGTTTCAAACTTAAAATAACCCCAGATTTTCAGGGTTAAGGTCCTATGTTTTTCAAGCAATAATTGGAAGGATGCAAAAGGACCACGAAGCTGGTTTTTTACTTCAAAATAATTGGTCACGCGTATTGGTGATATTAATTAAGTTCAGACAATTTACGATTATGTTTAAATGCTAATAAAATTAAAATAAAATCTAATTCTAATTCTTTCCGGTGAAAATCCAATCGAATTCTTAATTTTAGTTAACCTGACTCAATTCCGAACTGCCGAGGAGGAATAAACGCTAAATGTTAAAAATTCCAGCCTTAGCATATCACCGGGCTAAAGGCGGAAAAATTGGTGATATTTTCCTGTTCTGATTACCATATTTTCAGGGCCAAAGAAAACCGAGCGATAACCGGACGCTGGCTAAACACAAGAAAATGATGAATTTTTAGAAAAATGGCAAGAAACGATAAATCGACAAGGAAATGATGGGGAAAAAAGTAGTAAAATCTGACCCAGTAAGTCAATTTTAAAGTATTAGAACGAAAAATTCATACGATTTAGGATTGCTCCAATATTCATCCAATATCCTATCCTATATCCGGATTCATCCAATACATATGGGTGGGCTAATAACTGGTGGCCAGATTCGACCGTTTCTTCACTTTTCTTCCCCTCTGATGCGAATCGTTTTTCTGGTCGATTGGGTTGTAATTGCTGGCCTCACTAATTAATGTTCTGTTTTTTTTGCTCACTATGCTTGCTATTTTTTTGTGTTACCGTAATTCGTCACGTACCGTGTGTTGCACATCTTCCAAGTGTTCGATTACCCACTTTTTTAGATAACAGATAACCAGGCGTGTTGAGAAGATAAATGTTTTTTACTATTTTTGCTTTTAATTAAATTAAGATATCTTGAACGAGCTCGCCGATTAATGGTGTTGCTTTTTCGCGTTTCTTAATATATTTTTAAAATTTCTGGCAGTTTCTAATTACCATTCCAGGTTACCTTGGTGATCTCAGCTTGGATAATTTCTCCAGATTGACGTTTTTCTAAAAAACCGTCGGAAATTCAGTGCAATATCTGCACTCGATTCTACTGCTTTGGATTTAAAATGTCACCTGGATGTATTTAAAACATCCAAGAAGAATAATTTAATCGCAATATTAAGGTAAGTTCAAGATTTTTTAGAGATTTAACCCAAAACCCAGAGTGCAACAGCTAAAAATTTAAATTTTAAGTTATAGAAGAAAGGCAATAAGCTAACGTAATTCAATCTCAAATTAACATCGGCAATTATGTTACTGTTGAAAGCCCATCTTGTAAACTTTTGTAATTGTATACTCTCGTAATCAAACTTTATTCTTACAGAGCAAATATGCATCTGATGAAAAAATCGAGCGATGAAAAAGATGAAATCGATCAACGGAAAATATTTGGAAAACGTTCAAGCTTATCCATGAAGCACGGCACAATGTGATCTTGATAAAGTAACTAGAAATATCGGTGAGAATATATGCTACATAAATTTTAATGTCAAACCAGGGTTGAAAAGCCGCTTCGCGACTTTTCAACCCTGGCCCCGTCTGGGACTGCATGCTGTTCTACGCTTTGCATAATTGCGCTGAATTCAGATGACAAAAAAGTGAAAATGATTCGCTTGTGACCCTTTATATAGGTGACTTCCTACTTCCGGTCAATGCTAATTTTTCCTAGCGAAGAGGGTTTTACAAAAACTTAAATTTAATATCGAAAATGGCTAATTTTTATAAATCTGATATGTGGGCAGTCATCCCTAGATCGTTGCGCAGATAATGACATATCGTACCACCCCTAACTTCTTCCCCCATAGAGATACGACTGGAACAACGATACGGAAGTGGATGCAAAGTGGCACACACACACAGACATTATTTTTTTTATATATAGTAGGATAACGAAAACAAATTAAAAATGAGGTTTTTTAGAAATGAACCTTGAATATTTAAATGGCAATGATCGAATTTATCCCAAGCAGAAATTCGTGGCCTTGACAAAAACATCGGTAGACCCTTTTGCCGATCGCAACGGGGGAAAATAGTAGATAAAGGTCAAAATTTTGTTAAAGTCGAACTGATCGTAATCTTTCAGGCCTAAAAGGATTTGGCAAGGAACTTTTCGATGGTGATGGCCACGCAGGTAGACAAATACGAAGATCTGGTATAGCCTTTTGCAGTTGGAAGCCGCTTACGAAGGTCCGAGGTTCGTAGAAGCCTTTGCGAACAATTTGACGCCATATTTGACGATATTGTTGCTTATGTCCATAGCGTAAGATAAGCGTAGCGACCGAGTATATTGCATTTTAGAACAAGGACTTCGATAAAAGGGTCGTGGAGGGACGTAGAGGCGGTGCATCTGTTAAGATCCGAGCGGCCAAGGCCAAGCTGCAAAATCTGATCGACACCATCAGCGCAGGGGAGAAAGTAAGGCACCCTGATAAAGTTCTTCGGTTGTCAATTATCGAAGTTTGTTGGGAGACGATGGTGAAGATGAGGAGGAGGAGCAAGAAATGGGCAACCGTCAGGCAGGTCACTGTTTTTCTAGATACGGAATAGCTGCAAAAATGCAAAAATTTGGCTCCAGAATAACGGGCCGAATCGGCTAAATTAAATGAGCAATAGTTTCTTTTCAGAGAACGGGACGAACTGGCGCTGACGGATACTATCGGTAATTTTGTATGCCGTTCATGCACAAATAGCTTCAGGTTCGATTCTTGAATGCTTGAAAGCTAATTCTGTTATAGAAAAGCCCTCACCCGTCTATCGGAGCAGCCCTGCCGGCAGACGTCTATGAAGATTTGAATGGGTTCATATGGAAAATCAAAAGCCAATCCGCGCGGCAACGGCAAAAAGCTACCGTTCTGGAGTGGAATTGATTTTTAATGGAATTAACACGGTCGAAAGAATGTCGAAAATGGCCGCGATTTACCAAAAAAAACCGCTGTGGCTATAAAATGGTAAGTCTGATACTCGAAAAAATTTCTCCTGATGCAGGATCGAATTTGGTGCGTTGACGTCCCTAAAACCAACCACGAAAGCCAACGATTTGAAAAATTATGAGAAGGCAAACCGGCTAATGGTAAGTCGCATGCTTTTCTAATTACTGCTTTGATTTTAGCCGTCACTCCGATATAAGGACCCCCAGAGATATACGCAGGAGATCGTCAGCTGTATTAGATATAATGGCGAAAAGGACAAGGACGGCCAGAGCGACTATTTAAAAATTTGATTCATGCTCCAAGGGTGAATGAGGACTTAATTGGCCCATCTGTACCAAATCTCTATAAAATGGTAAGTTCCATGATTTTCTAGAAATCTTTTCCCCTTTTCTAGCGACCGGTACAAAGCTAAAATATGGAAACTATACGCCGGACCGGAAATGTGAACGGATGGTTTCCGGCGGTCATGAGAAACCAGCTAGGTTTGAGAAGAAATTTCTTCTTAAGACCAAGGTTTTTAGTTGGCATTATCCAAGGCGAATCGAAAGCGTGAGGTCTTCAAAGAAAAACTGTATTTGCCCATGAAGAAACGACCAGAACCGGCTTTACCTTTTCGGGTGGTATCAGCGGGTCAAAATTCACTGGAATTTCCGAAAAATGGAATAAAAAATGCTGCCGATTTTCCACGAAATGTGAGTTTAAATTTTGTGAAGATCATGCGGAATATTTTAGCTGGGAGGCTGCGAGCAGAGGAAGAGGTCGTCTCGATGGCATCATCAAACCTGTTTGTTTTTTTATTTAAACGGCCGGTAATGGTGAGTACAGGGGTAATGCAAGCTGGATGTGGCCGCCAGCTTGAGGTAGCCAGGTATCGTGCCTATATTTTTGTTGGCACCATCAGGTAGCGTGGTCTACCATGGTTATTGGTTGCACACGGAAAACCTACAGGATTGGGCCTCCTCTTTGGGGTGGGATCAGCGGTCGGAATTCACTAGAATTTTCGAAGAATGTAATCAACAGGATTTGCCTACGAATGTCAGTTTTAAATTTGTGCCGGCCTCTCGCGCCTTTAAAGCATAGAATATTTTAGTGGGAGGCTACCCGCCAGGAACCCCTACTCTGCCGAGCTTGGGTAATGTTCTTTGAGCCTGGGGTTTTGCTTCTTACCCAGCTTTTTCTTATGCAGAAAGCCAAACCGGCTATAACGTGGGTATTTCGTTTTTATAATGGCTCCACGAAAAAACCTGCAATGTGAAGGTTCCCAAATTCAAAGCTGGGTATACGCCACGGTCGATGACAGGAAATGGTAAGAAGTTTCTTTATTTAGAGCTTTCTGCCTTTTTGTCAATATTTTAACTCGGTAATTTAGAATAAAATAAAGTGCCGCCGCTCGATGATATTTGCTATGATTTCAACAAAGGAATATAACTTCCATAACTATGAAGCAAATAAACAATTTTTATATTTTGGTGTTGAATTTGTCCAGAATATCTGAAATGAGCTCGCCGATCAATGACGTTGCTTTTTTTGTTCTGTATATTTTAGGGTTAATTTGTGCTCTATAGCGTTCTTTGCAGCTTGTCTAGGCGACCTCATCTTGGTTAATTTCTCCATGTTGACGGTTTTCTAATAAAACCGTCTAAAATTGGGTGCAAGTTTACGCCCAATTCAGCTGTTTCGGAACATTCTTTCGGAGCCGGTCGATTTTAAATGATGTGGATAAAATAAATGAAAAAGAGCAATGTAAGTGCCATTTTTTCAAAAATAAGAAGGACAAAATTAGAATTGAGGCTAAATAAAATGCCGGCAACCGCGCAGGAGAACATACAGCATGCGAAAATTGGAAAGCGATGTCGAGCACGAGAAAAGCTTCAAGTTCTTGTGAAAACTTTGTTGGTCAGCGAAACGTCTAATCCACTTTAGATCGTTGTTCACTATAAACCCATGATCGTTTCGTCGTGGAACTTAAAATGCCACCGCACCATATTTATTCATGTTTGCCAGGAGAAATTTTTTAAAGCGGTATGCTCCGGCGTGCTCTCTGTGAACGAATTTTCAGCCCACGTCCTAGTAGTTGAAGTGGTCATTGATGATTGTTGCTACCGCAAATTCGCGATAAAAGAAATGCTGCAGTTCTTATAATGTAGTAATTGCAAGGACTTGTTAACAGGTATTTTTTCTTTAGCAAAACCTTACGAGCTAGTTTTTTAATGGTTAGGCATCACTGAATTGGCTTAAGGGGTTGGGGGGTGTCCGTTGTGGGGTCGGGGGGGGTCGGGGGGGGGGGGGGGTGGGCCTGTCTGCCCGGCCGTGTGGTGTGGCTTAACATTCGCTGAATTTTGGGCTAAACTGGATTGTAACTATTTTTATTATTACATTCAGGCCACCAAAGCTTTCGAGCCACGGTAAGACGATGAATTGGTTAATGGAGAGCTGCTTTTTATTTCGTGCTTTGAAATGGCTAAAATGGACAAAAAAAGGTAATTTCAAAATTTCGCAAAAATCCAAATACAGGCAGCGATCTGGAATGATTGAAAGTAGCCGTCCCGAATGATGTTTCGACTACACGAGCTTGCCAAAGCCCTGTTTGGAAGGACAAAGACCTGCCACGATTCAGGGCAAGTTTTACGTTTTTTAGTTAGGAAATTAGTCAGATTGTTCCCAAATATCACTCAATTTCAATCCCAGAAAAAAGCTAATTTTGACAATACGGCCTGGAATTAGCTTAATTCAACCGGCATGTATTAACATGACATTTTCAGGCAACCAATTATTGAAGTGGCGGACCCACATGTTTAAATGAAGTTAATTGGTTCATGAAGAATGTTTACATGATGTTGATGTGCTGAAGTTATAAAATAATTAGAAGGTAATTTAAGCGTAAAAAATTTACACCCAAAATATTGTTTTCGTTGGCCTTTTGCGCTCTAACCATCGAAAAATTAGGGGAATTTACATTAAAAATTGCCAAAATATTTTACTAATCCAGAAAACTTTTTCCAGAGGTTACCACGAACCACAACAACCACAACAACAACGGCCGTCCCAGCAATAATTATCGGCTCTTTCGGACAGTTACCCTGCGGACGAGGAAGATCGGCTTCCATCGAAGGACAATACGCATTTTCCTCATTCTTCATCATTCATTTTGTTATTGTTGTGGGGGGGGGGGGGGGTGGGGGGGGGGGGGGGCGCGGGGGGGGCCCGGGGGGCGGGGGGGGGGGGGGCGCGCCCCCCCCCCCAAGGGGGGGGGGGGGGCCCCCAAAAAAGGGGGGGGGGGGGGGGGGGGCCGCTTCGGGGGGCCCGGGATACCCCCCGGTTGTGGGGGGCCCCCAGGGGGCCGCCCGCCCCCCCACTCTGGGGGGGGGGGGGGGCCCCCCCCCCCCCCCCCCCCGGGGGGGGCGGGCCCCCCCCAAAAACCCACGGGGGGGGGGACCGGGCCCCCCCGGCGGCCCCCCCTTCCCCCCCCCAGGCTCGCCTCTTATTCTGGATAGAAGCCCTCCTATTTACCCGGCTGTCCTTCCCGGCCCGACAATCTACAGGTCCGTGATATTTTATATTATGCAGACGCCGGCTTTGCCGGTCGATAAATTAGAACCTCTTGCCTCGTTAAAGTCGCCCCTGAGATCTGCAAACGAGTACCTATACAAACACATCTTTTACGCCTTTTTATAAGTCTGCACGCATTCTAAAGTCAGGATCCAGAGTCTACATTATAGGAGGGGCTGAAACTAGTTGGTTGAGTGGCCTGCTAGGAGAGAAGAGAATAGGGTCCACGGGTCCATGCTCGTACTCCCGTAGGCGAATAACGTGGAATATGACAATTCTGTGACAGCGCTAGAGCCCTCTCTCAAAATACTCCACTTGGAATTCCCCTTCCTTCGATCTCCCCTTGACTCTCACCCACTCCCTTACACTTACTGACTCCGAAGGACTTTGTTATGGTAGTTTAGTGCCTTAAATAAAGTAAAATCAACAACCAAGCCTGATGCATCTCAATAAGACAACACATAGATATTAAGATTAGAGATACAACTTGGCATCTTCTAGAGTTACAGAGGAGAACGAGTATTAGTTCTGAGAATTAGTTCTGCTGGCCCTCACCTACGAGGCCACACATTCTTTTGGATTTGCTGTCATCTCGATTTCCATGGAAAAATGAAAAACATAGCTTTACACACCAATCTAAACCCGGTGGATTCCATACCTTGTGTTAGAAGAATTTAATAATACAACTTATACAGAAAATAATTCAATTAACAGTAAATGTTAAACAATACAGAAGAGCAATATAAATTCTAATACAGCTAGTCCTATGCACATTGCGTAATTTCATAGTCTCAGTGTTTCTTCAACTTCTTCCGTCACCGGACTCCGATCTTGAACTTCGATAGACATTTCATGAGCATCACTAAATTTTATTATCTAAATCAGAATACCAAAGCTTACCTCAAATTCACATAATATTCACTGTGCTTCATCAACTGGAAATGTCGGCGCAGTCGGGCGGCCAGCTTTCCAATACCAGGACGCAATTTAGGCTTGAATTCCCAGCAACTGCGCATGATTTCAGCCCTGGAAACAAAAATAATGCGCATACAAATCAGCCCAGTTACATCCAATGAGGGGTATCTCCAGGCGGCACCAGCGTCCCGCCATTATTCAGGTAATCGGGCAATTCTTCGATTGTAATATCCTCGAACGGCGTCTGACCAAATGTATGCATTTCCCACAGCAGCACTCCGAATGACCATCTAATAGAAACAATTTTGATAACCGAGTGAAATTCCTTACACGTCCGATTTTTCAGAAAATTTCCCATGACACGCGGCTTCGGGCGCCGACCATCGGATGGGCGTTCGATTCTGACGAGTGTTATGCACGTAGTAATAATTTTCACCCGGGCGGCTTTGCGCGAAATCACAAATCTGAATTCTAGATTCAAAAGAATTATGTAAAGCCTCACTTTGACCAGTTTCTCCAGAGTCAGCAAAACGTTTCTGGCGGCGACGTCGCGATGGATCACTTTGATGCTCGTGAGAAAAGCCTGATAAATAAATAATGAGAAGTTCGAAGAGAAAAGTCTCACCAAACCGTCTGCCACCTGCCAGCTGATCAAAGGAAAATCGGCAAACTTTAGCTTTATCTCGTCCTCTTTCTAAAAAATAGTTCAGCATTGATAGGCTTCCCGATAACTTCCAAACACACCTGTTTCCTGCGAATTTTCCTTACAAGCGTAAGCAGGTCGCCAAGAGCGCAGTATTCCGTCACTACCATCGGATTCGAGGGATTCGTCACGCAGCCTATCATTGACAGCAAATGTGCATGGGGTGGAATCGTTTTTAGTACTTTGATTTCGTCCAATATTTCAATTCTAAAAAGTTACACAGAAAATTTGATTGAATACTTGGGACGTTCTTGGGTGGCTGATTTCACGACGACCTCCATTCCATTCGGGGTGACAGGGTAGAGGACCTATTTAGATTGTGAGGTGAGCTAAGTCGCTGCTCGGCTAATAGCTACTATATTTTCCAAGTAATGCCCACCTTTAGTGCTGGATATACAATTGTACAAGGCGGCGCACCATATAAAATTGTCTTTTTATGGGTGTGCCGACTATTCTTGCATAATTCCTCGCCAAAGAACAATGCTATCGGGTCGATTTCCCACTCAACGTCGGCTTTCATGTTCGCGCGCGCTTGTATCCTGAATGTTAGGAGATCGAAAAGACGGGAATCGAAAAAGTGATCAAGTTTCTCAATTCTCACTTCAGGTATTGTGCAAGATGGCTTCGCGCTCCAACCTCACCGATTTGCTTAGCAATCATCTCTTCGAATTCGAGGATACGTTTTCTAAACAGAATACTCAAAACTCAATGAATAAAGTATACCGTCTCCATAAAACGAACAAAACTAGCGCGACAATGAGCAAGACGCCCCCCAGCGTACAGCCAATGATCATGCCGAACCGGGCGAGGTTTGCGCCCGGCTTGGGTTCAGTTTGTGGACCACGGGTTGTTTTGCTCGAAACAGTTTTTTCCTGGTTATTTTTTTCCTTGATTTTCGTTACTGACCTGCTGATTACAGTACTAGCTGTGGGTACCGGCACAATTTCGGTGCATTTTCGAGTTGGATTATCTTGGCGATGCCATTCCAAGCGCGTTCGCATCCTCGCGTTCGTCACGGCGGCGCCCCAGTAGGTCTAAAAACAGGGCTTCATTGAGTTATTGCAAAGCTCCTGGGGCTTAGAAAATCAATACTAAATACTAAGGATATTTGCATTTTTTGTCACCTAGTCCAATTTTTACGTAGTGACTTTTAAAACTGATTCTATAGTTCGAAGTTTTTGCCTTGAACCGACCTCGATCCGGTTTATCCGCGAGCTACAATATACCTCTGTTGTTGTTTCGGTAAAAAGTAACCTTGAAATATATAAGAAAAGCTGCAAGACATCTTACTCGACATTATCCATTACATTGACAACGTTCTCATAATACATTTTATACTTCAGGGTTCCTCCGTACAAGTCAGCAACGTTTAGGCGAAAATAAAATAATGGTGTTCCTAAGATGATTCTCGGCGTGCACTTTCAGAATTGCTCGTACCAGTATTGTTGTAAGTCCATTCAAAAGAGCCATCGACTATGTCATCGGCCGGGTACCCGTAGCTCAGCTCATCGGCATACAGCGTGTCGTAGACGCCGGATCCAGTCACAGAACTCTATCAGTAAAATTCGTGAGGTCAACAAACATGAACATTTCGTCAAATAGGGAGTGCCTTATCATAGCACTAAGTAAAAATATATTATCTAAACACCAACCACATTCGAAGCAACATTGTGCAGCTCATGCAGGCTCTTGAAGGCAACATCGAATGTTCCGTTGATGAACCAAAGTGTAGCAATACGGTCGCTCCATTTAACTGGAGAAATAAGTGAGCGGCCGTCCCTGAAATTCTATAAATGAGTTTAGGAACGATGCAAATTTATGCGAATGATCTCTGTTTTCTGATGCAAATTAGCAAACCTCACATTTCGAACGTGTCGACTAAACGCGTTTTGTCTCCCTCGGGGCCGATACCACCTGTGTACCCTTCGATATAGCCACCCTGTAACGATTAACTAGACGATTCCGCATGGTCTACCGTATCTCTTGTTGGCTGAATCGTTCTGAATAAAACAACATGGTAAAGGGCATCAGCGACAAATGTATGGACGGCGCCGGAGCCAATATGTGTCATCGACTGCATAACTCCTTCAAATGGGGAATGGACGTAGAGCTCTGGCGGCGCTGGAATTAAGCGGAAAATTGTCTAGTTCATGAAAGCTCAAAGCCAATCCTTGGGCTGGTGGGCCAGTAAAACGATATTTTTGCATTGTCGAGTATTTGTTTTGTAAATAAAATTTACACCTTTGTAGAATTGGTCGCTCAGCACGGTAAATGTATATCGAGGACAGTCGCTTTCACCATCCCGGCTTGCGTTTTTCGACCATTGCGAAAGTTCGATTGGGGGTGGCAGATCGTTGACCATCAAATTGACGCCATAGTGAGTGGCCGATGTCCATGTGCTAAAAAAGCCCCGAACTTTTTGGAATCGCGCTTTCCGGGCGTAAATACCATCCAAAAGCCACGCGGAAAAAACCCACTAACTGCACGAATCGGCCAACACAGACGTGCCGTTAATCATTAAAGGCACCCTGTCATCTTCGGGACCAGTTGGCAAGTAGCAGGAAAGTCCGATGACGATCCGAAGTCGGCAATCAGTTTGGCAATCTGCGCCGATCGTCATGTTCTGTAATTTGACAATCACATTAGTCGGGTAAGGCTTAGGATGAGGAATTTTGCCAAAAAATGCCTGCCAGTTTTAGCATATCCTCCTGAAATACCGTCACAGAGGGCAGTTGTCGGCTCAAGATCAATGGCTCGTTTGCGCCCGCGTGCCCTGTAATTTCTAGCGGTATTTCCAGCGGCTGACTAACTGGGCCAAAAAAAACTTCACACCTCTATGCAAAAAACTTGATTGAGCTGCCAGGAGGGCGAGAAACCAGCAGTGCATGGCATAAGAGCACCGCTAGATTTACCGAACTTGCCGCCCCTCCAAAAGTAATATTTGTGCAGGAACTTTGCTCAACGGCTTATCAACATGGGGGTATTGCAAAGCATAGCCCGGAATAATCCGTAGGCTTTTCCCCACACGTCCTCATGTTAACTGCACAAAACTGATGTTCATAGGCCGCAAAAAAACATTTATTTGTGAAGCGATGCTAACTTGGACCGTACTGGTTATAATAAAACAAAACGAAGATGAAGGTAGTGCCGAGATGAGTGCTTGTGCGCCAACGCGAATATCCATTATTTTTGATAGTTGATGTAGCCACTGGCGATGCGTTTCCCTTCAGACAAACGCAATCAATTCCCGGGCTCTCGGGCCACATTTCGACCCGTGCCATTGCATGCCCCAGTTTGGACTGATCGCTGCTGAGCTGAAATTGGTCAACTTTATAGGTTTTCGGATTAAAACAGCTTTGCGGAATAGCCATCCCTACCTTATATAATTTTGGCTGTCTTTGTGTGTGTGTGTGTGTGTGTGTGTGTGTGTGTGTGTGTGTGTGTGTGTGTGTGTGTGTGTGTGTGTGTGTGTGTGTGTGTGTGTGTGTGTGTGTGTGTGTGTGTGTGTGTGTGTGTGTGTGTGTGTGTGTGTGTGTGTGTGTGTGTGTGTGTGTGTGTGTGTGTGTGTGTGTGTGTGTGTGTGTGTGTGTGTGTGTGTGTGTGTGTGTGTGTGTGTGTGTGTGTGTGTGTGTGTGTGTGTGTGTGTGTGTGTGTGTGTGTGTGTGTGTGTGTGTGTGTGTGTGTGTGTGTGTGTGTGTGTGTGTGTGTGTGTGTGTGTGTGTGTGTGTGTGTGTGTGTGTGTGTGTGTGTGTGTGTGTGTGTGTGTGTGTGTGTGTGTGTGTGTGTGTGTGTGTGTGTGTGTGTGTGTGTGTGTGTGTGTGTGTGTGTGTGTGTGTGTGTGTGTGTGTGTGTGTGTGTGTGTGTGTGTGTGTGTGTGTGTGTGTGTGTGTGTGTGTGTGTGTGTGTGTGTGTGTGTGTGTGTGTGTGTGTGTGTGTGTGTGTGTGTGTGTGTGTGTGTGTGTGTGTGTGTGTGTGTGTGTGTGTGTGTGTGTGTGTGTGTGTGTGTGTGTGTGTGTGTGTGTGTGTGTGTGTGTGTGTGTGTGTGTGTGTGTGTCAGTTTCGAGACCCGATTTGAGGGCGTCCCCGTGCCCAAAATGCCTCAGTTCTTCGTCACTTGGGGGAATCGACCTTTCTGTTTCCAATGGGGTTCTCAGAATTTTGATAAAATACAAGTTTACAAAGTTAAACCCGGTTTTATTCATTTTTGGGGACCCGGAGGGCTAATTTGCATAATGTGAAAAAAATACAAATTTCTCATTCTTGCCAGTTGCACGCGCGCGTGTGGTTTGTGGGGGTTCCGCAGGACCCGAGCTATCAGAAAGTCAAATTTCTCATGCAAAGGCCGCAATCCAGCGCCGAAGGCCCGCGAAGCGGGTTTTGGGCGCTGGTTAGCTAATAAAATAGCATGGCACTCACCCAGATATTCTCCAAATTACTCGCGCAGTAGACCGTCGCAGAAGCGTTTGCGAATTCGATGCTTCACCGTAAAGCCCACAAGCGGCAAAATTAGGGTTACCTGTCGTTATACGGTGAACCGAATGGTTTGTTGCCGGTCAATACCAATTGGTAGCCCTTTAGCACCAGGATAGTCAACGTCAGATACATCTTCCGCGAAGAATCTGTTTTCAAATCCGATCCTGACCTAACGGTACACTCTTGGCCCGAATACAGGTTATGTATACGCCTGGGCACAACGTTGCAAATATTACCTCCGACCCGAAAACTATATATAGATTGCAATTGCACTAGGTTCGGGTAATGCCAGGAATAATAGTCTGCATATTGTATCTGACCGGGCCGTGAAGAAATCGGCTAAACCCAAGCTTGTCGTTAGGAAAGGGAATTACCGTTTCGTCCATCTCCCCTGTATCCTGAGTTGCAGTCGCGATGATGTCGTATTCGCATTCATCAAATATCACCTTCAGGCCGGGACGATTCCAGCGTTGATTCCATAAAACACGCCCTTGGCTACTGGAAATGATCTGCCTATTTAGCCTCAAAAGTTTCTTGAACGTTCTGAGCACGAAGGCATAAAACCATTTAGCTTATTTAAAATATATGTCATTATGGAACTTGCATTGTGTAATTGTTGAGGAAGCTTTGCTCCTCCGTGACTCCCTTGGGAAGCAGACCGAAATACGCTTTGAAGTGACAATTGGTCCCTCTCTGAACTGCAATTGTGAAAAGAAACCATTATGTTTTGCGAGCTCAGGCGCCAAAACCACGACAGAAATAACAAGAAAGCAGCCATCAAAATCACCAAATCATCCAATGTTTTTACATTTTTCTCGGACAATGTAGCCTGCTTAAACACGAGACCCGTCATTGTTCGACTCAAGAAAATATGATCTCGATCTCCGCTGAGCCCTTGAAAATGTTGAGGATCTGGGACGGCAAGGATGGCATGTACCATTCTCTCGACGGGTGCTAAAATCAACACTGTAAATTAATTTCAATATCCGGAAATTTTTTTGTCTGGATGTTTTACTGTTATAGTAATGGTCGGAGGTTACTGTGAAGACATATGTGTAGTTGGCCCATTGAGTCGTGTAATTTGTGAAATCAGGCCGCTCGTCCAGAGTGATTGGATTCGGGAGGTTGTTAGCCCGTAGCGACATGCCATAGGACAGCTTCGCGGTCCAGGTGCTAGAATATAGCTTCTAGTTTTTTGCCGCAAATTCGGAAGCAGTCGAAAAAGCGAAAACACGCTCTGAAATTCAACGGACTGCCAGCGAAACTCACTATTGAAATTGGTCGTACGCTATTGGTTGACCATTGGCAGTTAGCGGAATTTTCTCGTATAGAGGTGCCCGGCCGCCCGTCAGGCCCTGCAGGCCCACGTCCAGTCGAAGGCTACAGGCCGTGCCACAACCAGCCACTACCGTGTAGTTCTAACAAGGAGACGTTTTTGAGTGTCGTCCGGGCTTCGAAATGGGACTAAGGCTTTCTCGTGCAGAATTATACGCTCATTCCGAATCTGGTTACCGTTTTTGAGAATAGACATTCCTTGAAAGGTATGAACTATTTCAGCCCAAAAAAAGCCCAAAATCGGCTACTTTCGATGAATAAAAGGTTTCGGAATATGTTCTAGGAGAAGGAGAATCTGCACAAGTTGGTCCTGTGCCAAAGTCCGGCCGAGGCTGTTCTAGTCTCACCGATGCTATTGCGTTACCTTTTTTGTAATAAATTCGGCCCTAGTGAGGCCTACTAATGGCTGAAGCGAGGTGAGCCGAATCAACGAATTCGATTCGAAATAAAGCGACAATGATAGTAGCAACATCAAGAGCATATTATTTTTCCTGGAGGGGCCTAAAAAATGGACCGTATTCTGTGCAAACCAGCTGCCTGCATAACCTGCGATAAGGGCTGGGAAGCGACAAGTACAAAAGTGGAAATTTCGGGATCTCGGGACCGCAAAATTATCTAAAATTTGGAAGGATTTTTTTGAAACTGTATTTTTTGAAATTCTTTGCTAATACCGTATACATTTGACTACAACCTATTAAAAAATTTTTTTATTTGAAGTATTTCGAGGTAAGATGGATATAGCTTTTGGTTTTCGATCTAAGGTTCCTTTTTAGATTCCCTAAGCCTGCATTCTTGCTTTGATTATATAATTTATCCGGCATCAAAGTTTCAAGGCAAATATAGATCGTAGCCGTAACCTCTTAACTAAACTCCCGATGACCAATGCAAGCGGCTTACACCATGTTTCCGTCGTTCATCCGTTCTTATCGGCGGGGAATTATGTCGCCTTTCAGTGTTTGCACGTTTGCCTGAAAAACATGGAATTGTGAAACACCACGCATTGAAAAAAAAAATTTCTATAGAGGAGTCAACCAAGAATTAAAAAAATTCAACTAAAAACGAGTGGTTCGCATCGAAAGCACTTCAATCGAAAGTGCTTCCGCTTTAAAGAGGGTAATGTATTTCCGACCTCATCGAAAAGGCTTCGCTGTAAAGTGATTTACTTCAGTTGGAGTTTCGATTCGGGACGAAAGTGCATCTTGTGCAGAATTTTTCGCTGATTCCAAATACATTTTGCAAATTTGCTGCGGACCTTTTTTTAAAAAATCATTTTTGGTGCAAATTAAGCCTAAAAAAGCCAAAAACATTTGGATTCTGACCCACTATGCTCCTCGTGGTTCTATGGCTTCAGCGGGCCCTGAAGTACGCTCTCCCAATCCGCTGCACAGTTGGTACCATGGTGCATTGGCAAAGTCCTCGCTTGCCAAGCTCAAGGCGGCGGTTCGACACCCCCCCTGCATCACTTCTCTTGCTTTTGCACACCAAATCTAATTTTTTTATCAGAAAAGCTTGGTTTAGCGTTAGGTTCATACTCATTTTTCTGGGCTTGCCTGATCCCTTTAGCCAGCTAATCCGATATTGCTAGGTGTAAAATATGTCGCGAGATTCCGATACAATCGTTTTACTACTTTATACTCGGATATTCCACCCTCTGAAATCTATTAATTCCGCTCGGCACGCGCTTTCTCAACGCCACCGCGTGCACAAACTTCCCCCATTTCTCCCAAAAATGCGGCGATACGCCGTATTGGTATGGCTAGTATTACTAGCCCTGGCCGGTGTACCGACAGCCTTGCGGCAGAACGATCGAAAGCGACCCGATTGGCACGAAGCCTATGGCCGTAAGCATAAGTTAATGTGGGATTCGCAGCTTCATAGGTATTTTTAATCACTATCCCGATCGGCATGACAGCGACGACGACGCGGAGACCATCGGTCAGTTTTTCGCTGGTCGCTTGTGGTACATGCCAGACGCTGCTAACACTAAGATTTAATCTAATTCTATCGATATTTAAGGTTTTTCGTAAAAACTCATACGTTTTCAACAGGAATTTCACAATTAGCCTGCGGATCTGGCATAAATGAGCAGTTTTCATGGTTTTTGGACCTAAAATTGGCGAATAAAAATACATAGTAAAGAAAATCAACCCTCCTTGTTTTCTCGCCTTTTCGAGAGCTTTCGATAGACACCCAAATCGTAAAAATCGGAATCGACTGCGGACCGCTAGGTAGGGGGTCTTTTTTTGGGAAACCTCATACAATTAGTTTTAGGTGGACAACAAGCTATACTAGCTGATCTGGACAATTACCTGCGCCACCAGCCGTTGAATCCAGGTGCTCAGCCGGTTGCTGGCGGAAACCAACAGGTCTTATTGAACTTTGCGGGTTATGACAAGGCATCTGCCTAGGCTCCTGATCCCCCTCCCCCAGAAGAGTATCTAAAGTATCTAATGTAGCACGGCCCCCTTCGTTCTATAGGGCTTTCAGATATACCAAAATGTTCGCTAGGGCAAGACGATTATTTTGGTATACTGTACACAGCTGTACCTGTCGAACGCATTCAGCAGCACGCACGCAAACCACTCGTTTATTGCAGCCGATCAACCCAAATGCTGGGCAGCAGTATCCAAATTATCCAAATTTTCCTGCCTACGCTGGACTTCCACAGGTATGCACCCCAAAAATTAATTCCATATAAGTCCAGGGATATCCACCGGGCTATCCTCAGCCCATGCCCCCACAGGCATCCTATGTTCAACCGGGACAGCTGCACGTGAGTTTCTTACTGTGCTACCATCATCAAGTCTTTTAGCCCATGCCGATCGTACCAGTAGCTCCGGCAGCCCTGCCCCTGATACCAGCACCTAGTGAGAACCTCAATACTAGGGCGAAAAGAGAGACATATAGACGGAGAGAGAGAGATAGAGAGAGAGATAAAGATAAAGTTATATTAACTACTACTAAAATTTTGTTAAGATATCCATCAACAGCCACCTCGGAAACGGAACTGTTGGTGTTTCTTGAACTACCTTCTGACGATGCATTAGTCGATGAGTCAAGACCAGGGCTGAAAACCGCTTCGCGGCTTTTCAACCCCGGCCCCGTCAAGGACCTCTGAAAGTCATGACTTTGCCTATTTCTTGCCGAAAACCGACCATCAAAAAAAAACGAACATCACACCCTCCCTTCCTTTTTATAAGCCACCTCCACTTCCGGTGTATGGCAATTTTTTTCCTTAACATAGAGGGAAGCCAAGAAGTTTACAAAAACTTAATTTTAATAGCGAAAATAGCAATTTTCCAAAGAATTTATTTATGTGAAGTCGATTCCGGCCCCTTCTTTACCCTATGACGTTCCTTCCCTGCCGAAAAAGGCTGGATGTTCCCCACCTACAACCTCAGAGTAAACGGAAGTGCATGCAGATATACACACTCACACACAAACACTATTTTTTATATATAGTTGGCTCTTGCATTACTATTGATTTATATACATTATTTAGCTAAGCGGCAACAAGGCCCACCCTTCAGGCCGCTCCACCTGTTGCCCTGTGGGTTCGATAATCTCCAATTCCCCAGCTGTGTCCAATTTTATTTTCCCAGAATTCTTCTAAAAACCGTTTCGGGCCCTTCTGAAAATTTTTAATTACGGGTCCTCCCGCGAAAACTTTTGAAACGACATCCAATGCTAGATTTTGGCTATCCCTCCTTGATCCGCTTAGAATCAGTAGAAACGGTATTCATAAGATAGTGGGGGGAGGGGGGGGGGAATAAAATAACGAAGGGGCACTCATTTTATGAAATTTGTAATTACTGTGGGATTTTGCAAGGATCATTCGATAGAACGTCGAAAAATATACTAAGAGAATTAATTTCAGCCCGAAATAATGTAATGGAAATTTTTTATTAAATAAACAAAAATTGAGGAAAATCTATGGGCACATAGGATAACGCGGAAAGCCAAATTTTTTGAGATTTTCGATATTTTGGAAACCCGAATCAATAGAACATTACAAAATATACTAAGATATTTTTTACAACGCGAAAAAATGTATTATAAAGGTTTTATAGCCTAAAAACTATTTTTGAAAACTATGGGCAGTACATAGGATAACGAGGGGGGGGGGGTTTTCGGAGTTTTGAATATTTTCGATACTTTGAAAATGCCATTCGATAGAGGGCCGACAAATATACTAAGAGCTTTTTATGGCCCGAAAAAAATCATGTTTAAAAATACATTTATCATTAAATAAGAGTTTGTGTGCCTCCTCCCCGCAATCCTTGTGTGCCTGTCTTGATACCGGCTGTCTTGTAAGAAACCGAATCTCTCGTCTGCCAGCAGCATCTCGGCTTCGGATCACTCTAATTTTGGGATTTGTTGACAAAACGGCGTGGTGGAATATTTGAGAAAGAGGAATATCTGCGCGCCTTTCGTTTCATACATAAAATGCCTTATAATAAGCAAACTTACGCTTTATCCCCGATTACTTCGGATTCCGATGACCAAAAAAGGAACATTATGCATGAGTTGTGAAGTACAAGTTTAGTCGGGGACGATATCACCGCGAATCGCGAGATACTACGCCAGAACTTGGTACGAGGTAAGGAACTTCGTATCGTTTTCGATCACCCGCCTTAAAGGGATAGGGGCGGCATAAGTCAATCGGTTACGCGCTGGAAAGAAAATGTCTCTGCGCCTCTCCCCTGGGCGCGCTTCCTTGTTGTGAGGGGGATCGACTGCGCAGCCCTTTAAGTCTGCCGGTCTCCTGGCAGTCCGAGGGCGCCCGCGAATTTAGGACCGCTGCCCTTAATCAGCCCTAAAAAATCAATAATTTGGACCGTTTTATTAAGCGAATACATACAGGGTGTCCCAAACCCCCTACCTAGCAGTCCGCAGCCGTATATCGAAAAAGCGAGAAAACAAGGAGGGTTCATTTTCTTTACTAGGCATTTTTATTCGCTAATTTTACGTCCAAAAACCATGAAAACTGCTGATTTATCCAAGATCTACATGCTAATTGCGAAATTCCTGTTGAAAAAGTAACAGTTTTTTTAGAAAAACCTGAAATATCGATAGAATTAGATTCGATTTTAGAAAACGAAACACGCTTGTTTTCTCGCCTTTTCAAGTGCTTTCGATTGATAGTTAGATCGCAAAAATCGGACATGACTGCGGACCGCTAGATAGGGGGGGGGGGTTTGGGGCACCCTGTATGGTCTCATTTCCCGGAAATTCAAACCCATTTTACACCTTACGTTCGCTGTTTTCCTTTCAAAACAATCGGGATCCTCGGACCGCTCCGGTACGGCCCGGTTCGGCCCGACTGCAAATTTCAGAACCAACCACACCGGATCCGTTTCGGATCGAGCGTGACCAACTTTGCTTTCAGGTAACCTCCGTGGGACCGGATTATTGCCGTCGCATCTATTCAACGCCCGGATGAGCGACATCTGGATCCGGGATGAGGGTTTGTTGCTTGTCGACGTAATTTGGCCATCCATCTGTTTTTTTCTGGATTTGAGTACGTACCGATTAACGTCCCCCTTGATTTGATTGATTGATTGATCGATGATGATTTTATTTTTCAAATTTTTTTTTGCCTGCGGCGCTTTTAAAGCTATTTTTAATACTACTTTAAGTGTTATAAATCCCATGTTTTCAAAATTTTTGCCTGCGGCGCTGCAGTTTTAGTTCAATTCATGTAAAATTTTGGCGCCGCCCCCCTCCCCCGAGATTTCGGGTTTGTTACGGCCCTGCCCTTGTCGCACCGGTGAATCAGGACAATACCGGCGCACCATCCTGCCCGATTGATTCAAATTTTTTGCCAGCTAAACGCACATATTGAAAATCATGTAGAGAAAATGTTATGACAGCACCACATTGCCTCCAAGAAGCCGGCCCTGTACAGTGTGTCCCAAAAAACGAACCATCTGGGATTTCGCCGTGTTACATCCAATCGGCCCCAAAATTGGACCAGAGGTGTACCAGACCCTAAATAACAACAATCCTGATTTATAGCCCCGTAGCTATAGTAGTTCTTGAGTTATAACAAAAATACATTTTATTTTCCATTTTTCATAAGGTTTCCGTAGAACTAGGCCCCTAAACATTAAGTGAAAATGATTCGGTAGGCCTTCTCTACCTTAAGAAATTTTTTCCGGACCAAAATTAACCCAATAGTCGTCGATTTAAGCAATCTTTACAACGCAAAATTACCCAAGTTTGATGTGGATTAGGATTTGATGTGGGAAGTCGATGCAAATCGATGCATAGTCCAAAAATATAGCCGAAAAAACTATTTAGAATTTCTGGAAAAAGCAGTATTTTTTCTATAACTCTTAAACGACTCAAACGATGGGGCTATAAGTTGGGGTTGTTGTTATTTAGGGTCTGATACACCGTTCCTCCAACTTCGGGACCGATTGGATGGAAGGCGGCGAAATGCCAGATGGGTCGTTTTTTTGGGACACGCTGTACTCGTAACATGTGATTGCTTTGCAGCCGCAATGCTGAATAATCTGCCGGTGAGGTTGCAGTTTGAGCTGCTACAGGAGCGGATCATTTCTGACAGGCTGGGCACCCCCATAGACTATACGCTCTTCGCTCACAGCATGACACCAGATCAGGTCGGTTTCTAACAGCGTTTCGCGCTTTGCAAGATATTCCCTCCCTCTAGAAACCCGCAGTCTTTTCCGATTTTAACGATTTAGTAACCTTTCGAAGGCTCACGAAATGGCGAGAAAACAAGCGGTTTGGGTTGCCTAGATGAGTTGATTTAATTGCAGATAACTAAAAACTGTGAGAGCGAGAGAGAGAGAGAGAGAGAGGGGAGGGCTGTTTAATGCGAGATCCGCATGTTATTTGCAATATGGGCATGGGGAAAAACACACTTTTTTTAACAAAACGTTCAGTTTCACGAAAATGTTCAGTAATTTAAGAAAACAAAACCCGCTTGTTTTCTCGCCTTTGAAGGGCTTTCCAATGGTATCCGAACCCCATGTCAGTGGAGTTGTCTCCAGATCGCTGGACGGGGGTGCTTTTTCTGTACTCGTACTTAAATATGCTATCCAGAAAATTCCGAATGCAATGCATATGCGATCGATTTCAGATCGAGGCACACAAACGTGTTCACTGGGAGGACAATCGCATCAGGTTTAACTTTTTTTTCAACGGGATACGGTGTTCTCTTTAGGCCATACGACATCGCAAGACGCGCGGAAAAGCGAAGGCAGGCAAAAAATATTGGCTTAGCTGCCAGGGCACCAAGCCCGCCGGCAAAGAAACGGGGAATGGGCAACAACTGGCCGCCAACACCGCCACCAGGTCATCATCCATTATCTGCGCATCCATCATCACATACCCTTGCACATCACACACACCAACTGGGATATCCTATCCTATCCCAAGTATCTGAGTCAATGATCCATTCTTTGGCCTGCGGCGCCAAAGCCAACGCTGTGATAGTATGTAAAATCTTTAAGCCTGCGGCGCTAGTTACTGGTTCTACTCCATGATTTGGCCTGCGGCGCGAGAGCCTGGCCCAAGGACCTTTTCTTTGGCCTGCGGCGCTAGAGCGAGGGCCAGGCCTAAATCTCGCACACCGAGAGCCTAGAAAAATGTTTTGTTGCAAAACTATCAAAAGGTAAAAAGGTGATTCCGCCCTGGATCCGAACGCATGGTAGACCGCACGTAAATCCGCTACACCACGGGGCAGATGGGAACGAGCGGGGGAAAGGCCTCTTCCAATGGTCCCCGGGGAGGCCTCCTGGTCACTTTACAAAATTGTATTTTTGAATATGAATCTGCGGAAAGTTTGTAAAGATAATAAGATATGCGTGATCCTCACCATCGAATACATCATTTGTTCAAATTCTAGCCGGAAATTACATCTGGTCTTCGGGTTATGGCCCGGACACCTCTGGCAAATGTGTTGCTCCACAAAAAATTCGGCCTATCGGCCGACAAGTCGGCTGTATAGAAAACAAACATACTTTTCTCGCTATAAGATAGGTTATCCCAGTTCGGCAACGTATCGAAATTAAGCAGATCGCCATTACGGCCAAAATTTGATTCTTTGCGAAACACTGCTGTGTATGCTATTGTAATGCAAACAACGGTTTTTAAAAAATTGAAATATTTTAGCAGATGGGGTACGCTAGAATATTTCAAAATTCTTGAAAACTTTTCCATGATTCGAAAGCTCTTGAATTCCATATTTTTCTCAAGTTTCAATATTTTCCATGGTTCGGCGCGTTTTGGAAACGACATTTTAATAACCAACAGAATGATGTAACGTCAGGCGCAAAATGCCAATTCTGATGCGAACTAAATACTTTTGTAAAAAAATGGAATCTTTGTAGCTGGTGGCTGTGCCCCTATGCAGCATTATCCGCAGCCGATCGGCAGAAAGAAGCGTGCGATTGGCGCAAAAGCCGGACAATTTGGATGCAATCTACAGGTTAAGGACCTGGTCGGGCTGCCCGCGGACCGAAAGGTAACATTTTATTCCATACATAACGTTTTAGGGCCAATTTCCAATTTTTACCATTTCTATGTGAATTTTTGGTGCAATGAATATTTTCTCTCTTGCTTAGATAATTTATTGCCAAGTACAGACACGAGATGAAAAATATTGGAAACAGGATCATCATTTGGGGGTGTACCGGTGCGACCAATTCGTCGTAAAAATACAGAAAAAAGGTAAAATTTATCTAGACAGCTACAAAAATTTAAAATACATTTTTTACATCATGAAATTCTAGACGATACATGGTAAGAAAGCCTGTCACTACAGCAGGCAAAAAAAGGGGGGGGAGAAAAATGGGATCTAGACACCTGGCTCCGAGTCGGACTTGATCAGCTTCGTGGAGTTGTCGTCGTTTTTGGGCTTTCTGGCGTCGACAGGGGCGACGAGTTCGGACGTCTCGCCGTCGTCGTCGTCGCGTGGGATGGAGCTGAAAAAGCTTAAGACTAGCTGAAATTTAACTCTGGTTTTCTGAAGAACAAGTTAAGTTCGAAATTGAGGTGGAGGATTGACAGTCGACATGCGGAATTTCCCATCGAGTACAGAGAAAATTTAAACCCTCGATTTATTTCACAACTTATTAGTTAATCTCAATCTCCATCCGAATATTTTGATTAGGAAAATTTTTCTTTGGCCCTTAACTTTCGGCCTTTCGCGATTTAGCTGGTAGGTGACGATCAGTGGATCGGCAAATATTGTTTGCCCCCGCCGGGGAGCATCACGCCCCATAAAACTTTGCTAGGCTCCCCTTTTTTTTCCGCGAATCCGCGCTAGGCTGGGAAATTCTTGCGTTCAAATTTTTGGTTGGCTTAAACGACGGGGCTGGCCTAATTATGGATAGGCTGGTCGTTTTTTAACGATAAGTTTTGTGTGCGATAAACATGACCAAATCAGAGGACTCGCTGCGTTTTAAATTTTTAAACTCGCTTGTGAAACCACCTTTTCTCCTCTTTCTTTGAGCGTTTGTAAGCAAAAATGAAGGCTCCTTACAGCAGTTTATTTTCAATATTTACAGTTTTACCACCAGCTTCATATTGCGCTATTTAATTTCTTCCACTTTATCTTCATCTTTCGTTTTATTCGATTTTCAGGCTTCTACCGCTTCAACTTGGATGATTTCTCCATAACATGGCGGTTTCTAAAATGATCGCTGTACATTCGAGTTTGATTTTCCCCAGATATTTGAAAAGAAAAAATGAAAAGTAAAAGTTTTCATAGTTATATCCCATTAAACCATTTTTAGGTTCCCTGAAGCACCGGACAACATGCCCGAACCGTCAGATTCTATCACCGCCGGTTCATCTTCAGGGCGGATTTCCGGTTCGTTTACGAAAACCCGTACTTCCAAGTAAAGCGTAGAGGTCGTACGGCTGAACCCTTTGCTTTATTTCATTTGCTCTAGCAGCATTTTGCTTTTGTATTTTCGTCTAAAAATATTTGATTCTTTTCAGGGTAGAAGCCGCCAACCGCTATTTGCGTACCGGCACAGGGGTGGACAGTCGTAAATAAGGTAATCTTAGCTATACTTTTTAAACTGTTTTGCTTCGTTTGTAGGCATTAACAGCATCTAAAAAATGAAAAGAAATTTTCGAAAATGTCTAAAATATTTGTGCTAAGGTTGTAGCAATCCAAACCTACTAGAAACGCTATGAAGATTCACGAAAACTACCCAGAACCACCCAAAACTCTATTTTAGAGAGATGGATTGAATCGGAATCGACTACTCACCTTCGAAGTCTTCTCACCAGACGGGTTACCGATGGATGGTCTCCGACATTTCATGGGTTTCATGTATTTCAGTGATTTGTTTTATCTTTATGTTTTAATAATTAAAATAGCACTTGAATTTTTGGCCCAAACCTATCTATGATTGCTTGCTCGTTAGCGAATTGTCGTCTTTTTAACTATTATAACAATGTATTGTTGTTATTTTGAGTTGACTCTCGTTAGTTCATTAGTTCCCATCGACAAATATTTCCACCGGACAAAGGGCTCTTTCGATATCTCCCCAAAAATTAATTTTAATAGCAGCTACTATTCATAAATCTAAATAAATCAAGCGAGCACTGATCTTGGGACCAATACGCACCTAATAACATATCAAACATACCTTAAAATCTTTTGCTTATCAACATCTTTCTTGTGGATTGTTGAATGACGCTCTAAAATATTACTAGGGGTTTTTTGGTAAACATAGTCTATCGGGTGGGGGGGGGATAACGGGGGACATTCAAAGTTTTTATAATAAAAATATTAATATGGTTTTTTCGTAAACAAAAAAAACTTATAGTATAATTTTCGGCCTTCTATCGAATGGCATTTTTAAAATATAGAAAATATTCAAAACGCCGGATATACGTCCCCCCGTTATCCTATAAATTTTCTCCAAAGTAACCCACGTGCTTTCACCACCTTCACTACGCGTTTTTTTGGAAATTTTATCGAAATTCCCAGCCCTGCAAAATGCGAAGCGATTTGAACATTTGTGGTGGAGGTGTTTTGAATGGTTCCCCGAGTGACAGGCCTTCCGGCCCAAGTTCACACATGGCACGCCTTTCTGGTAAAAAATGGCGTCCCGCGAAACCCTCTCTCTAAAGCCATTCGAACTTGCGTGCGAGTTGTGCGAATTTTCATCCTCGGGTCATAAAGATCCTAATTTAATTGATCCAATTTTTCTCTATTTTGCTTAATTTAAACTTTTATTGTGTTCTCGACCGTTATTAGCATTATATTTACATTTTTTACAGCATTCCCTGACTGCGAATTTGGGTGATTTCTCCATATAATGGCGGTTTGATGGTAAAATCGCGGATTTCGAGTGCATTTGCTGCTTTTTCAGGAATCAAAATTTTAAGGTTAGTTAAGCTTTTATGGATGACGGGCGATCATCTGATTCGAATCGTCATTTTTGATAGTCGTAATTTTTGTTGGGAAACCCAGTAATTTGAAAAATCTCAGAAATTCAGAAACTTACTAGGGGAGCCCGAACAAACCCGGGCTCAGAATTAGCCAAAAATTTACAAACAGATGGAATCGACCATGCTGGTCATCACCTCGTTTTTAGAATTTGCTACTGATCTTCAAAACTCGAGATCAGCCACTTTAAAAGTGATCGTTTAGTAAAATCGTCAAATTTCGACCTCGATTATTTTGATCTTCCCAGCCGATTTTGTAAAAATAAATATCGCCAACGTATTCAGAAAATTTTTGACTTTCGGATGAGCCGAGAACTCAAGAGTTTCAAAAAATGGAAAAATTAGAAAATTGGCGGTAGAACCGACCTCAACTCGTTTGGGTCATTTTCGGTATGGGCTCCTATTTTTGCATAGGAAATAGTGATAACAGCCTGCTGCAAACAGCTGGAAGGCGCCGTCTAGAGCCAGCCACTACTGTATTGTTTCTGTTTTTAAAATTTAAAATTATCAAATTATTTTTATTTCAAAAGTAACAATTTATTTTTATTTCAAAAGTATCAATTTATTTCAAAAACTTTAGTTTAAAACTTTATTTAATATTTATTTAAAAACCTTTTTAGTATTTATTTTAAATACAGCCATAATATGCCAGGCGTAAGTTTTATTTATTTATTTTTTTATTATCTCATCCTTACGATACTACAACACAGCGATTTTTTTTCAGGAGTCGCGAAGCGGCAGCTGCAAAAGAGGAGGCGGAGACCGACCCGAAAGTCTTGGCGTATTTGAAGACCCTTGAGGGGTGAGTTTTCATTTCATTTTTTTTTTTGAAAAATCTATTTGAACTTTATCCATTAGTTTTTTCGATCTCTCTCTCTCTACCGATCTCTGCAGGCATCTCAGATATATCAGATCTCATCTCATCATCATCTCATCATCTCAGATCTTTGATGGCTTATAACTTTTTACCTAGATTGTAATTTGAAAAAGTAGATTTCCAGATTTGTAGAACAAAATGCGCTCTTTCGAATGTGACCAAATAGAAAGAAAACTGAATTCAAAACTGAATTGGACCAAGGCTTTGAAGTTCAAATGGTTCAAAACGGGGTGTAGTATTGGAGCGTTGCGCAGCCCAATTTTCCGTGCCATTTTTCGTTGCGGCCCAAACCACTGCTTGAGTTGCCATGTCTGGTTGTTTTACGTTCCCCGCCGTCTATTGCGTCCCTCCATACCATTAGCTTGTGTAATGCCCTGTTGCCCTCCCCCCCCTCTGCATGTCTGTCATCCCTCTGCCCCCTCGCCTGTCCATCCGCGTTATAAGTGTCAATAAAATGCTTATTGAAGCAATTGGACAAGTATCAGGTTGGAAAGAAAGTAATGGCACAAAATCTTTAAACCGCCGTAAAAACCCGCAGGAACGTCCGATTTGAAAGTATGATATATGGTTTGGTAGATCTTGGGATGCTCCATCACAAGACGACCCTCAAAACGCACAAAAACTGATGTAGGCGACGATACACGCCTCAGAAGTTTCGCAGAAAATTAGGTGGAAGCTTCCAAGCGAGATATCTCTGCATACAGGCATTCGCATACGATACTTTTAACACCAAACGATAGACCTTGAGGAGTAGATATCGATAAATGTTGAGATCATCAAAAATCGGACACTGGATGGCCGAGATATGGGCCTTCCAAAGTCAATGCATTTTCTGGATTTTGGTTCGGGAGCTGAAGCAAACGCAGCAGTATTTGGCTCGCGCAGGCCAAAATGTATGGCATTTCGAGAAAAGTTCTAAGAAGTGGATCAAATTTCTAGAGGCCATATCTCGGCCATCCAGTTTCCGATTTTGATGATCTCAACATCTATCGATATCTACTCCTCGAGGGCTATCGATTGGTGTCAAAAGTATCGTATGCAAATGCCGGTATGCAGAGATATCTCGCTTGGAAGCTTTCACCTAATTGTCTGCGAAACTCTGGCGCCTGTATCTTCGCGTAGATCAGTTTTTGGGTGCTTTCAGGGTCGTCTCGTGATAGAGCATCCGAAGATCTACCAAACCATATATCATACTTTCAAATCGGACGTTCCTGCGGCTTTTTACAGCAGTTTAAAGATTTTGTGCCATTACTTTCTTTCCAACCTGATACAAACAGGTACAGCCAAGGATTGTTTTTTAAATTTTGCATGCTTTCGTAATCGGAGAGTTTCGAAAGGGGAGTTTCGAAAGGAGAGTTTCGAAAATCAATCGAAAATCAATAGGTGTTTCGAACAAGTGCAAACAGGTACAGACAAGAATAAAGTTTTAAAATAAATACTGAAAAGTTTTTTAAATAAATATTAAATAAAGTTTTAAAATCAAGTTTTTGAAATAAATTGATACTTTTGAAATAAAAATAAATTGTTACTTTTGAAATGAAATTAATTTGATAATTTTAAATTTTAAAAACAGAAACAATACAGTAGTAGGTACATTAAAATCTCGTTCAAAAAGTCGGTGGTGTTCGGGAATTTGGGTCCCGTTGCCC